AGATTCTACATTATTCTTTAGTGTTGCATAGTCATGGTGTCCCTGGTTTCTTTGTTCCATATTATTTTCTGTGCTGAGCTCATTATGTTTATGAATTGTGTTATCATTTCCTTTGTTGCTGTTGTTTTAGTATATGCTGCTTGTCCTCTTTTTTATTATGATGTGAAGGTTTATAATTTTTTCTTTGAGGTTACCCTGTGATTTATAATTTTATCCCTGAGTTTAGAACAGTCCATTCTATCTTTCAACTTTCTTAACTTCCTCACCATTTAGAAATTCTGTGACTGCACAGTCTTTTCCCTCTTTTTGTTTGTAGTTAAGACAGGGGAGTTTTTATTACAGTACTTCCATTATGAATAAGAATAATGATTTGTAAACAGGAGATAGGAAATGTGCTTATCCTGTCTTTAATTGACTTTCATATGACGTGAATAATGTGTGCCTGCAAAAAACGGGACCAGGATTGCTGGTCTGATAGAGCCTGGTGGAATCACTGAGACTATGGCCCCTAGCTGCCCTTCAGGTCTGGAACTGAACCCATACCTGTGGCTTCCAGCCAAGCAAAAGACAGGCATCTGAGTTGAACATTTACCTGAGGTAGATACACTCCTTGGAGAAAACAATCATGGGAGAAAGAAGGGCTGTTTATGCACAGGGAGACAGCTCAGCAGGCAGGAGTACATGGTGGGATGGTCACAGGGAAGAGGTAACTCTCAGGAGAAAGTGGGAGAGGAGCTGTTGGATTGTGGTAAATTGTAGTCAATGTCATGAGACAAACTTTATGTGAACTGCTGTATGGAAAGTGAATTTGCTCTGTAAATTTTCACCCAAATCACAATTAAAAACAAAAAATGCATCCCTGCAATATCAATGAATGGTAAAGAACATAATGCATAATTAGTAAAAGGTGAAAATTTAACTCGGGATGATTCATTGTTTTATACAGAATTACATTTGAGATCTAGTCTCCAGGTACAGTGGAAGTATTCATTTATTGGGGAAAACATTCCTTTTCATTTGACCATGGAATTTTTATCAGTGGTTAACTTGATTTTCCTGTAAATTCCAACTTTTGCAACAACCTTCCCTTGGTTTGTTTGGCCTCCTAAACTTTTCCTCTTCCTTTCATTTTTCTGTTCTGTGTCAGTGAAACATGAAATAGCTCTACTTCACTTCCACATGAGTAAGAAGAGTTAGGCAAAATATCTTTTAGGGCATGAATGTTGTTGTTGTAGTTAGGTGCAATCGAGTCAGCTCCAACTCATAGCAACCCTGTATACAACATAATGAAACATTGCCTGGTCCTGCACCATCACAATCCTTGCTATACTTGAGCCCATTGTTGCAGCCACTGTGTTAATCCATCTTGTTGAGAGTCTTTCCCTTTTTCTCTGACCCTCTACTTTACCAAGTATGATATCCTTCTCCAGGGAATAGTCCTTCCTGACAACATGACCAAAGTAGGTAAAATGAAGTCTGGCCATTTTCCCTTCTA